CTAGGTGCCAGTGTCGGCGTATAGTTAAACCAAATTGACCCGTTGGGTGATTTCGTATGATGAGGCGAAGGATATTGACAGACTGGGCGATGGAGCAGCGAGCTGTCGCCAGTTTTTGCAAGGTAACGTAGTTTTGTGTGCTGGCGTTCAGCGTGACTATAGAGTCATCTTGACGGTCATTCAGATGGGAACTACGCTACGTGAGGGATGAACTCAGACCTGTGGGGTGCAAATGAAGTGGTGGGTGGATCTCTTCGACCAGAGGGTAGTAAGGGAACTAGGCGACTTAGTGAGAATGAGGAATAGTGAAGCGGCGTGCGTAACTGAAATAGTTGAGCAATTATAGAGGCGTTCCCTTGCTCCCATGATGTTCCAACGAAGGCATTGCAATCGTTTCTTAATGCAGTCATTAGATCAACAGGGAAATCGGATGCGGACTTGACTGAGAAGCTGTGGAAGATTGGAGGCGTCGAGTGCCATATCCGTGGCGACGGCCAGAAGTGTCTCGAGCTATCGTGCAAATCAGTTGCACTGGTGGTTGAGTATCCACACCAAACTGAGTTGTAAAGATCCGGATAGGATTGACGCCGGTGTTGAGACAAACCATGCTTATTTTTGAACGTTCTGCTGCATGCTGAACATTTGAACACCGTCCAGTTGGCGACGAGAGTATCAGCTACAAATCCAGTTACGTTGCTCCAGTGGTAAGCTAGGTGTTTACCTAAGCCTAGACTTGTGGAAGAAGAGCGCAGTAATGCAGGAGTGTGGCGTCAGTCGTTAAGTCTGGTAAATGGTCCACTTGCTTTAAGTCAGATGACGTGGACGGCTGTTGAGGCAGTGCAGCCGTTGCAATCGATTCACACAATGAGTGCATCAAAATGGCCCGTCAATCAGAAGGTCGTCTAATGTTGGTGAATATTTCATTCACGTGACGTCCACGTGTGAGTCCAAGATACTTCACTGATGCGGAGAATCGCAAGCTCACATCATCGATCTGAAGCAAGTTTCTGGTAACGTATTACTTTAGGAAGTGAAAACGGAATGACACTGCCGTTGGATTCATTCAGCAGTAAGCAGCTGAATTTCGGCCATTACACAAGTACATGGAAAAACCTTGCAGCTTAGTCGAAGATGCTGAGGTTGAACGATTCACGCCGATGAAATACGTCATTAGCACATTTTAGCAAAATGGCTTTTCGGGGACAGACATGGAGCTCGCGTAGCAAGATAATAAGAATGGTGACAAAATAGCTGCTTGGAAGACGCCTGCATTTGTGATAAGTGGCCAGGGGCTTTTGACTACAAACCTGGTAACTTGAGTAGATTTAGTAAAACAATCCTTTAACAAGAAGATTAAGGAAGGTTGCATACTAGAAGCGTATAGATCGCATAACAGCGATTCACGGTGGACACAGTCGAAAGCACTGCTGTAGCTGAGGAAACAGAAGCGTGTGGAATTGTTCCTACTGTCTAATGACAATAAAATTTAATGCACTGAACAAGTCACTGTGTGCACTGTGAACTTCTATATGCAAACTGATGTGAGTCCTTGAAACAGGACTACTATACCAGCATGTTTTCGAGAACAAGTTCTCCAAAATCACCGTAGTGCATGTAACTGGTCGATATGTACTCATCCCCTTCCTTGGCACTAGCATTTTGCTAGCGACAAGGCTGACAAACTACAAATAGTCATCCAGCAATGCTTTCGATTGTGCATTCGTGGCAAACTGCAGTGTAGGCGCAAGTGAGGAGACGCAGACACGAGAATGAAAGTGACCGATTGTTGATACGGCAAACAAATGGTGTAATGACAGTTGAAAAAGCGTGCGCTAGAAGGGTCTGATTCTAGTATGATGACCGGAGTGCCTTAGTCAAAATCAAGGCCCTTGTAAAGAAGGATTACGGAAGCAACATTAGTTTATTCCACATATGCGAAAGTTAACGGTCATTACCTCTCGAGTGGGTTGCGACCATCATCCAGAAGGGTCCTGCGATCAAGATTTGTGTTGTCAAAGAGCTTAGCGGGTCTGTCAAAGCATCCGATAGCACATCTCACACATCCCGCTTGTACCTCAATAATGCACCAATAGAAACAGATATTGTTGCCGGGATCAACTAATGAGAATGAGTTATATGGTATTCATATACATTTCCTCTCGTTTTCAGGCAAGAAAAGTTATAAATGTGCCCAATATCCTCCTAAAATTTGTCAAATAAAGCACAACTTTATCCATGTGAAGGACATGTAAGAGAACTTAATGACGGCAATTGCTTCACCAGTCTCAAAGTCAATACCTGTCCACACATTAGAAAAATTTTTCTGTTAAGCAGCTCCACGAAAACACAAAATTTAAACCAGAGTCCGATTAAAAGTGTGTCATTCACGAACAAAAGGACCATTTTGTATTGCATATGAAACTGAAGCACTCGCAATGTGTTGTAGCTCCTCTGATTATTCCGTCTATGACCTCTGCTTGGATTTTGTCCATGCCAGTCCAAATCAATTTTCCACTGTTTATCCAGTCCGTGTAATTATCGTCAACTTGCGTTGGCCGCGATCGATTAGCATTCAACCTACCGGCCTCATGTTTCTAATCGCCAGAGTCCGTCTGCTATCCTGCCATCATCGCAGTTTCCCGTCAGAGACCTCAGTAATGCTGCCACAAAGGGGAGCTAAGAATGGCCTAACTTAGAAGCAGTATATCAATTCGTTAAACATTAGCACCTGGATAGTTTCGTTTAAACTAACATTAGCCAGATGATGGTAAGACGAAAGTTCAACTGAAAATTGCTGACCTCCGGTGGGAACGGTTACAAGCAGTTTCGACAAATACGTCTAGAGTTTGACTGCCCTTCGAGCCGTCAATCTCAAGTGCGTATCTCGACCCACCTTTGTACCCAATATTTCACTCCAGCCTTACATGGCCTGAATATTTCCTTGCGTTTGTGGAACTACTGGAGTATTGGTGGACTGGACACCCAGATACTGTGTACCATGCCTTTAATTTTACAATTGCTTCTGGCTCGAATATTTCTCCTATGTATGGTTAAATCTGTCGGCTTGTCAGGTCAGTGACTCTATCTGTTTTTCTCATTGCAGTGTTCACACATTTTGAATTTCACGCATTGCGCCAAATGGTTGCAACCGATGGTTTAAAATGCTATAGGAAGTATATACAGGAAACATTTTCCGTCGGTCAGTTCCCGACACTCACCACTCATCATCATCATTATACAGGTTGGCTAGTGGGCCGCACTATGAACGAGTTGGATGGTAGCAAAAGGGATGAAAATAACGACAAAAGCAAAAAGATATGAAAAGTATAATATGCGTCGAGACTGAGCTCGCGGTTGAAGAGGGAAGCTAGGCCGGACGAGGGAACACACGGCACAGACGCTACTGAGGACGGTTCATTGCCACGTCAACACATGTTCGCCGTCTTTCGGATCTAAACCAGGGAGTCGAGACTCCCATAGTTAATTTTTCGGAGCACACACCGTGTGTTCGCATTGTGATACACCACCAGAACTTAGACCACGATATATGATGGAGCAAAGTTGGACCGTTACGTTCGCTGTAACCGTATGTGTGATGGCTCTTTCCACTGCAGTCCAAGACGAGACTTCTCTTTGTATAGGTAGAAATTCGTCACATCTAGACTCACTCAGACAGCCGTCACACGCCCGGAGAAGCACTGTACGCGCGTTTCATCCTTTCGGGAATCGTCAGCAGTGCGCATTCCATCGGACCCTGGTAGGGTTTGAACCCGCAACTCGGCTGCTTGGTGGTAATCAGCTAAAACTCGTTCAGAAATTCCATTATCTAGGGCAGCCATAGTAGCGTCTGTGCAATGGAAGAGGAGGTCACGAGCCGTACCACAAAAGTGAGAGGCGTTTCTGCTGATCGCCATTTGTGGCGCAGTTTTGACATGGCTCTCACTCTAAAAGGTTGAGTTTACAATGCAGTCGTCCGTTCAATCCTCCTGTACGGTTGGGAAACCTGGCCCACCAGTTCGACAGAGATCAAGTGGCTTGTTTCGTTCGACCATTGCTGCTTTCACAGCTTAGCACATGTCTGATGGGAGCGCCGAGTGAGCTATGAGGGTGTTCGGCGTCGTGCATTTCGTGCAGGAAGAATGAGTGAACTGCTCAATACCAGGCTCCGATGGCTGTGCCAGGTGTTGCGCATTGCAGCACAACGACCGTCGTATCGTGTGTTGTTTGCGTACCGGGGGTGTGGATAGGAGAAGAGGAGGGGAGGCTAGGTGATGACTTGGTCAAGAGAAATGAAAATCCTCACCTCGAAGCTGACCTTTCTTTGTATCTCACGACCGCAGATCTGGGGTCCCATGGATGATGAACACTTGCTGGTATGGCAAAGAACCGACCTCAATGACTTTCTTGGTCACTCATTACTCCCTTTAGCTTCCCCCTCTAACCACGATCTCATCCGATGCGTAAAATGATATTTAGCATTATGTTCCTTTGTAGTTTTTGTCTTTTGTAATATTTGATATCTTGGCATTCTTGTAGTCCGGCACATTAGCTGAAGTGTGTCTCAGCCTCAGTTGTTGTATATTGATAAGGATGATGAAGTATACATTGGATGAATCAGGTTCACTGAATAATGACTAGTGTTGTCGAGAAAAAATAACATGTATTTGAGTAACTGCATTGGACTGAGCTGTTATTATTTCAACCAGCGTGGCTACATCAGAAGTGCAAGTCTTGTTTGCCCCGCCTTAATTAAACGCTAAGCGTAATGGCCGGTTCGGCTACCGTAGAATGTTTCATGTAAAGATACCCTAGTGGAGATTGGAAGGGAAATACTTTAGCTTAACGGTTAGTCATGATTAATAAATAGTGTTTATGACAGCTGCCAAACATCCTTAATTCCTCAAGTAGACCATAACCAACTATCGGAGAGACTGAGTTGCAATTGGCTGAACAAGACAGTCTAAGGCAAATGGGAAAAGAAAGGCGTATCATGGACCTACCTCTGAACGTTCTTGGATCCTTGTGTACAGGACATGGAGAGGTATAAGACTGATGTAGAAAGGCGCATACCTGTCCCAAACCGCGTAACAAAATGGCCAAGCGACTGCTCCACTGATTCAAATAAGTGAGACGGGACTTCACCTGAGTGAACAAACAAAAATGTTGGTAAGGGGAGAGCAATTGTAAGCACCGGCACTGCTCTACTGGCCATCCACGGGGTAAGAACTGGAGAAAAATCACTGTGGGTGACAGAAGCGCTGATAGGAGTCCACAGGATTCCTTGGCTATGAAAACTATGGATTGACAGTGATTGTGTGAATGATCATCACTGATACAGACTGCAGGTGAAGGGCACGTATATAGTTTGTCAACACGACGATCTAGTAACAGGCGTGAAGAAGATATATCAAAACTGATCATGGCGGAGGTAGAGCACTCAACACGCAGGAGCAGACCCAGTGAGTACACAAAGAAACGCAATGAAATTCAACCGAAATGAGAAAAGCTGTCTCACAACGTACGTGGACAGCAGTACGCTTGAGAAAAGGGTCCATCAGTACATTATAGCGATTCTGTAAAGTCGAGATTGAGATAGTTGCTGACATTTTAATTATCTACTAAGTTGTTTCAGCACAAGTTGGCATGCTGAACAGATCTGGCTATCGTTCTCTTGTCGAATCGGTTAGGAATTCAGGAGCCAGAATGTCCACGGTGAAATCCCATGAAAAGTGCGAATGTGGACATTGTGGAGCCGAACATGGCAACGTTCATTGGGGTCAACCTTTTTCATCTGAACTGAAAATGCTGAACTAGCGATCGATCACAAAGCGGGAACGTGTAAAAAAGACAATACGAACAACTTAAGGTAATGCCAGTACTTTCATTTTTGATAAGTACTTGATTGAAAAGAATAAGAATGGACGTACATTGAACAACAGGACAGCCCATTCGACTAGACGACAAAAGCAACCCTTCAGAAGGAAGTGTACGAAAGACAGAAGGTAATTGAGGGGACTATGGAAGATATAATGAATCGAAGGTCGATACAGAGCATTTTTAATCGCTATTCAATAAAGGCGTGGAGTTACGGAGAGCCAATGCGTGGATGCGCCAAGTCTAAAAATGATGCGCGTGGCCAGGATGAGAACGGTGTAACATGGTGTTGGACTAAGCGATGATGTGGAGCGCTGGTGAAAACTTAAGACAATAACAACCACTTTGAAGTGGGATGAAAGCCGAGGGGACCGCGAGAGAAACAGTGGAGCTGGGATGATATCTCTCGGTCATATGGGTTATTCGCATCTCCACCGAATTCCCCATTCGCGCTTTTATTTTGCTTGGAATTGGGAGGGGTTGTGTGGTCAGCATCCTTGGTGCATGGCTATGACGGCCTACTAGTGGCAAACTGAGTAGATAAACAGACGCGAAGACGGAATTTGAGGTAAAAGGAAGCGTTTTGGGTATAGGATAATAGAGAACTAACGATGGGTAGGTGCCTCATTGCATCGAAGCGTGCGGATGAATTCATCAACTAGAGCGTTAGTTTATAGCAAGAATATATACATTAACAGGTAAGCGTACTACGTGACGAACGGATAGGTCAAGTTAGCAGGCAAAAGAGACTGAATTCGCCAGTACCTCTGGTAAAGCCCAGTCGATCACATTGTAGACGAAACGAGCCTCTGAACTCCAAGCCTGTTCCACCTGCTCCACCCGAGTTAGTAGCTGTGAGACCGAAACATTTGCGAGCATCACATACTCCCAGTAGCCTTCCAACGTGCGTCGACTGCCGAAAGAAGAATTAGGGGGGAAATTGAAAATGAATTTCGGATCAGTACGCTAGACTGGAGAAACACGGAAAAGCGGAGGGTAAGTTAGGCAGAATTGTAAATGAAGGTAGGAAGCAAGCTCATGTCCCGGCCAGTTGTTCATATGCAGAATTAGATACGAATCAAGCCACGTGGTAATTGATCAAGCGATCACCTTTCAATATACTAGACACAATCGGTGATTGCAAGGTAGCAGGCAAATTGTGGTGAATGTAGGCTTAGAGTGACCGGAAGTATTCGCGATTGATGTGAACTGAAAAGTACATGGACCATGGAATGACAGGAAAATAAACCGTAGTAGTGCGGCGGGCACATTCATCATTGTGGCACTCATGGGCCTACGGGGCATGACCAAACGATCGAAGCTTAGTATTTGGTGAAGAGGTAGGATGGAACCCAGAGCACGGCATCATTCGGGCGGAGTACTCATGGTCAGCATTGGGCGTGATTTGTAGCCCGTTGCTGCAACCATATAAGAAGTCTCACGAGCCTATGAAGATCATTGTTGCCAGTAACAGCAGTTGTTGTTAAGGTGTTATTAAGTTGTCAAAAAGGGTGGCAAACCATCTGCGATGTATTTGATAATCACGCGTGTTCCAGACCGTGTACAATCACCCAACATTGTGAGTTCCTTTAAGTATTTTAACCATAAGCAGGGTCTGAGGGCCGCAATGCTGACCCGTGAGTTGAAGACCACTGCTGAGTGTTTGGGCGCAGTTGCATGGTTGAGCTGAAACCAGCATACTCAAGATGAAAGCTTAACGCAGATTCCATAAACAATGAGTGCCTTATTAGTGCTTCATCATTTACCATCCCAGTGATCGAACTGAAGAGGCTTCAATCCACTGCGAATCGCAAAAATGGCTTGGGGTAACTTCCTGACCCATTGCAACCATTGTACCACACTTGTCCGTGAAGAAAAAGTAACGTATCTACAGTGCATATACAAAAGGTTTCTGGCAAACAACAAACTACTGTGTAGGCATGTCAACAATCTTCGTAAAGTAAAGCATGACATCCCTCTACTTTTCACAACAGACGATAGGGTATAAAGCCTCGACGGAGCAGCCAATGGCTTGTACCTAAACTACGCGGCGATTTTCGAAGTCGCAACCTATCCCTGTCACATACCCTCGTCACTTTACCGACTCCAGGATGTACATGTAATTTTCAACGCAGCAAATGTGTTAAAGAAGTTACCCTCTTTGCGCGACCATAGCTCTGCACGAGCCGACAACATCCACGTGAAAGCATTGAAGGTTGCAGCCACTAAGCTAGCCGCACCTCTATCACAATTCTTTCGTAGATGCATCGATGAACAACTCTGGTCTGCTGAGTCTTCTTCTGTCTTCCTTCCTGTCGGGTTTGTCAAGGCGTCAAACAGAGCAGGCATAAGGACCCAAATTTACCAGCAGGCGTGGATCAACTGGTCAATTGCGGGTGCAGCGTTATAACAGAAAGCATGGCATTATTACCCCAATTCTTGAAGGCAGTAGCCGTTCAGACCCTGTAAACTATCGCCCAATGACTTTTCTCCCTGTAATCGCGAAGGTGATGGAAGCAATCATCGCTGAGGCTCCAATGAACTACCTGGAAAAATGCAACGTGTTGGCAACGGAGCAGCATGGCTCCCGTCAACCTCGGTCATGCTCCACCAACCTCCCTATGGCATGAGGTAGATGGATGGAATTAGTTGAATGCGTTGTCGAAGTCGACGTCATCTAACTGGACTCCTCCAAAATTGTCGACTGCCTGGATCCTCGCATTCTACTTCACAGGCCACAGAGCTATGGAGTGAGAGCTGGTTTTCGGTAGGATTGCCAAATTTCTTCACGAACGGAGGATTCAACTGTGTGTTAGGGGATCACTCCCAACCCAACGGAGTTGGAATGCGGTGTTCCACAGGCCTCGGTGCTGGGACCGTGCTTATTCCTGGTGTTTACCGAAGACCTGACAAGAGTTATCCTCCAATTTCCCGCTTTTCCCCGATGACGCCAAGGTATGGCGAGCGATTAGCAGCAAAGAAGATAACGATCTCCTTCCACATGACCTGAATCTCATTCCTGATTGGTCAACAAGGAACCTACCCCACGTGGATACATCTAAGTGCAAGGCGATCTATTTGCGTCACCAGCCGGTGACAATGTACAAGCTTGGATACCGTACCTTGCAGAATGCCCCTCAGGAGCGTGATTTGGGTGAACTGGTGCAGGATGAACTCGGATGCTCAAAACAAGCAGAGAAGGCGTCGATAACCGGCAATCAGCACTTGGGCCTTCTTCGCAGAGCGTTCGGTCGGTTTGACCCCTCGAGCTACCCACAAATGCTGGACGCCCACGTACGACTGCGCGTGGAATAGGCCATCCAAGCGGGGCACTCACAGCAGAAACAGGATCCCGTTGCTCTCGAAACTTCTTAACGAAGGGCAACCAAGAACGTTAGGGGCCTCTTTCATCTGCCCTACTAGTTTAGATTGAAGCCCCAAGGAATGTACAGTAAGTCGCTATCGGCATTTCCGGAGGGACCTCATAATGGTTTATCAGATCCTGAAGAATCCAAACGACATCTGAAGTCTGCTGTTGGAACTGAACCACAACATTAACCAAAGAGGTCAGCCCCTGAAACTAACTATACAGCATAGCCGGCTTGAAGGCTGCAGAAATTTCTTCTCCCTCCGAGTGCGTCAGCCGTGGAACGCTCACCCAACTTATGTCGTTTCTGTCCCTAAGCTAAGGATACGTATAAAAACGAACGGGTTTAGCGTTATCCCATTAGCATCTTATCTTATAACTTGTGTAAGTTAGGGCACTACAAAACGCAACCAAGTGGTGTGATTCCGAAATTCCAACCAGTGGATGTAAGAATGTATGTTTTCTCATGCGAATATGTTAGCTATTTAACACAGTACTGTGGTAGGTCCAGCGAAACACACTACATTTCATCGATAATTTTTATTTTCTCAATAATTTTCAGCACAAGGGACTAGTTAAGCATTGCTTTTTTACCCGTAATACAAAATTGTTTCATTGAATTGAAGACAAGGATGCGTTCGAGCAGCCGGTGGTCTGATATCCACATCCTCGCATTATCTTTCGCACTTTCCTTGAAGTTTTAGAAGGGCAGACACATCGTAAGCGCCTAGCATTAAAAACTATGGCAGCAAGACTGAGGAGTGAATACTGTCAATTATATGCAATGTATGAAGTTGGTGTCTTTCAAAAGGTTCCTCATAGGTGGTAACTGCGTTCCGGAGGCGATTCTGACTGATAGTAATAGAAACACTAAACACACAGCAGGTGTGAATCGTACCTTTCCTGCGATACGGCTGAGCGACGTCTGAAACTTCTAGATGGTGATCGCAAAGAGAACGCAGCGATTTCATGGATCAACGTCTTGGTTTGCGGTATTCTGAGATCGAGCATGTTAGTCACCGAGCTGCCATGGATGCGTAGCTGTAGCTCACGCCACAAGCGTTGGACATACAAGTCTGCATTCATTGCGATACGGCTCGACCCGGTGTGACCAAGCAGGGGTGAAGGACTGTTCGGGTCGCTGTCTACGAAGGTCAGGCAGTGTTGCTGGACGAAGAGGATACATAAAAGTTGTGGGAGAGAAGACAACAAAGAGGACAACCATGAAGCACTGAATGAAACTAGCCAACATATAGGTGAACCCAACGATCATGAGGCGCATGTCATATACAGTCGCACTGGAGCAAGAGTCCATGCTAATTTGAGCAAATATTCAGCGTACTTATAGGCTTCAAATGCTCGGTCCTATTTTACTGTTCGTTTTGATGGATTCCGCGTCAATCAGTGTGGACAGATCGAACATGAATGAAAGAGGAGAGACCACATCGCGTGTTCTATCAACATGTGTCGAAAGCGTCCGTTATGTGCCCTACGCGCAGATCGAAAGCTCTAACATTGCAACGAGCAACTGTTTGGCAGAAACATGCAGTGTCTCTTTGAAGACTAGACGCTAATAGAAAACAAAAGTCTCCAACCTCCGAGTTTATCGAAGAAAGTTTAGCAAGGTATGACATGTGGATGGTTCCAACCTGCGCGCGAGCAGAGAAATTACATACCGAAAGCCTGCTTGACCAATCTCGACGCAGTGCGATGGGTCTACTAACCGAGACTGCCGCAAACAACACTAATGATGCCCTACGATGACAGTCGACACATGCGTGGGACAAACTGAATCAAAGAAGATGGAAGCACACACGTGGTTCATGCCACATGGAAATGGTGCATAAGGAAAGAAAACAACTTCCACCTTCCTCTGATAGATGATATGTTGGAGTGGAGCCCATTTGGAGAGTAGAGCACAACAAAATTACTTAGCAGAAATTCATGTTCATCCTGTCGATGATCAGTGGAAGACACTAGCACAAAGTTCGATGAAAACACTAGTTTTTAGTTAAACGGTCAAGAACATGATATCGCACCAAGTGAAACGCAGTTGACAAATAACAGGCCAATGTCATCACAACTAAGTAAATACATTTGTACATTCCCTGACAAGGCGGACATGATTCCTATGTGGCAGAAGTAATGATATAGTTTACATGCTTTAAAAAAGGATACAAATTTACAGGTCGTTCATTTGCACGACCTCGGTTTTGCGGAATTGATGTAAGAGCAGAGCAGTGATCTGATCGCTTGAAGATCATTTATTTGGTACAACTGCTTTTGCCATCGTTTCCAACTTTACTTCGTAGAGAAACTCGGTAGCCGTCAATGGTAGGGAATGGTTGAGTAAGTGGCACAGGCAGAAGTTTCATTCGTCTGCATCATGGTCAAGAAAGGAAAAGTTGAGTCTAGGCTTCTAGCAATATATATGTTGTTCAGTCCAGACTCCGTAAGTGTTTCTGGAGATTGCTGTGAGTCAAATGTTTTTACCATACTCGGTATAGTGAGAAACGCTTCCAGAGTTGTTCGGAACGCGGTGAGGTTTGCACACACGCGGAACTGCAGTGGCACTTGGTTCCAGAGATTGGTGGACGACAGTTTTCCAATCCAAAGGCGGTGCATTCTGTGTAGACATACTTAGTTATAATGTTTAAATGAAAGAGGATATTGTTCTGTAATCATCGCAGCCAAAGGGGATCCAGTGGAAGATGACAAGCTGAAACAACCTGTTGTGGGTCCGTTAAATATCCCCGCAAAAACGCGCCAGAAACTCCGGCATAATGGTTGTGGCAAGTGAGGTCCAATTCCTCCCCACAACGTAGCGGTGTTCAGCCACTCCGAGACGCTGCCCAACTGCGCACCTGTTGACAATATTCTTTTGCAAACTACCACCCCGTCGTAGTAGCAATTTTCCCTAACTTAATAACCCATTGCATTGGCTGTAATTCGCCCTTTGTTGGTCATAAAAGAGCCATTCAGAGGACCACCTGTCTTGCTTTCGCCTTAGTTAGTTCGGTCGGTCACGTGATTTTGTGTGCGTCGTTAGCCGGGCAGCGTTCGCGTCTAAGTCACTAGCGCGCGTCTACCGTAACCCCCTCTCGTGTGCGTCCGTTCCGAGGGTTCAGCGCCTACCCGAATACGTGCGACTAGGACCGTTCTCACGCTCGCACAATTTCCGTCTCAGCAGCGCGTACCCCGGGCTAAACTAACGCCATCAGGTCAGCGCAAATCCGTCCGACTGGTCAGCGTTACAGGCCGTTACCGCAGCGTGCTCCAACCGTGCCAGTGACAATCTTATCAGGCGTCCCTCTATTATAACACAACCACAGTGGGGCGAATAATACGGAGGAACAAAAGATGTCGCGGTACACACAACGGAAAAACGAATGGGGTCAAACCAGGAGCTGATCCAATTTTCGTGATTTCGCGTGAACGCGGTATATTGTACGGATGAAAATGTAAATGTTCCGATGAATGTACTCTTGCTCGTTATATTCGGACACCCGAAGCACCCAAACAGCCCCAAGCTTGGTTGAAGTGCGAAATGGATGTGATAGAAACACCACAAAGCAAAACAACAAGGATCATGAAGGGTCTACACAATCTGTCTTACGAGAAAAGGTTGAAGATATCAGGAGTTTTAGTGAATGCTATGGGAGGCTACGCGGTGATCTCATATTGGTGTACCAAATATTGGGTGACCTTAATCACGCATGCCGTCACTTGCTGAAATTAGGCCGTAACACCAACCTCAGAGGTAAGTGCCAGAAACTGAGTGAGCAATGAAGCCGTCTGGAATACCGAAGCAATCATTGTTTCGGGATTGCCAACCTTGGAATTTTCTCCTAAACTCACTAGTTTCCTCCCCCACCTTGGATTATATTAATTATGCCATTCTAACGGATTTACGTCACATGGACCTACAGAGGCAGCACATGGATGAACGCAATTGTTTTCATTTTTCGCACATCAGTTATAATTGCCCCCGCGTTGCGTTGTATGCTTACATTCATTCAGGAGCGCATTTGCTCTGTGTACGCTTAAACAGAAGACTCGCATAATCGTTATAGCGTAGTTTTCACCCCGACAATCCTACAGGATTGGTCAAGCATATGGTTTTCCCCCGTGATAAATCCTTGTTCATAGTTCAAATTGCTTCAGTTATGCTTTGGCTGCTCTTGCAGAAATTCATCGCTACAGATTATTTATTGTATCCGTAGCGCGAATCCGTTCAAGCAAAACCGTCAACTTCTTCCGAGTTCACGCGCTGAAGAGCAAGGACCTTCATTTGCACTATGAACTAGCAGTTGAAGGAGGAAAATAGTACCAGAAAAAGCACAGTAACTACTAACGTTTATTTATACTGGTAATGAAAATGACTGAACGGAAGTCCGGTCGGCGTGGGGCAATTACAAAACAGTGCAACCGACACCCCCTTTGTCTTTTTGGTGCTTAGGGTCACGAAATTCGTATTTGATTTATCTAAACAGTGAAGATGATTCTAGCACGGCTACATGTCAACCGATCAGCGCAGCCGACTAGACGGATGACTATTACTGCTCGGTCCCGTGGGTGTATCCGCTAAGCTCTCTCTACTTGATTGTGTTTCGTAACTCGGAGCGGTCTACTTGGATTCTACCACAATACCATCGTAGTGCTCTCTACAACTCTACCCATCGGAAAGTGTACCTGGGTACAGTAGCATGCAGATGAACGCATCCATAGCTCCCCCACGCATGCTTCCAGCTTTATCCTTCTAGGCCTGCACAAGAAGAAAAAGCACAACAACAACAACAACAGTACATCAGCCATTTAAACTGATGCTTCGCTGACATACAACCATGATGACCTATGGAATAAAGAATAATAAGAGGGAGAGAAGAGGGACTTACCTGAAAATTTTATTGCCCTGAACAAACATTCAGGGTCAATGCGCCTGCACCTCATGTTAACAACATACCGTCACAAACAGCTGGCTAGCGTGCAGAGATAAGGCGGCATCACCGAGATAGCTTCCTTTCGGCTTTCACTGCCCAGCGTCATAATCACCCATTACCATACTGATAACGCAGCATCAGATACAAGTTAAACAAGCAGTCCGACCATAAGACGGCAGCAAAAGCGCCACTGGTGTCGACTGCGAACTATGTCCTGTAACATCTCGAGCTAAGCACAAGGCGACACATGTGGACTACAGCCTGGAAGGCGAGACGTACCGACGGTGCCGAGGTGGGTCGTCAATGAGTTCATTTCCCGCTGAAAAACTAAATTGTGCCCACCTCGAGCCTTGCGCCGCCCTACACTTGGTAGACTAAACAAGACCCGCCTAACTAAGCGGTGACCAAGCATAGGTAGTACGTGCCCAAGCCACCGCAAGTTATTCAGTGCTATCCGTTATTCTAAGGAACTAGCTTGCTGATCACTGCCTAGTAGTCGCCTACGTACATCATCGTTGCGGACACACTAATGACATCGGACACCAGCAATGCTCTGCAGACAAAGATGATGAAAGACTTGAATGGGCCTCAGATCATCAGACCGAAGGGGCCAAGTCTCACTCCCACAGAGCAGGACAGCGCTCACTGTGACCATGTAAGCACGGCCTTTCAGACGGAGGGAGACTCGTTTCTGTCGTCATAGCTGCCACAGGTTCAAGAAGGCAGTTCTGGCTTTTGAAATGAGTGAACTGACTTCAGTTGCCATGCCCCCATCGTTGCGGATGCAGCTGCCAAGGTGTGGATCGATCAACCACCTCGAGTTTCTCGTTACCAAGGGTTACGTGGTGGTCAAGTGGCTGGTGGTCCTGCAGCAACATTATGCACTTTGAAGGTGTGGAGCGAATATCAAATAATGGGACCACTCTAGACAAGATATACAGGGTTGATTGTGCCGCCCCCACATCATCGAAAAGCAAGACGATATCGTCTGTATGCTCAAGAGCAACTAACGTTTCACCAGGCAGAACCTCAAACCCTACATCGCGAGATCCCGCAAGGGAACACTCTATGATGGAGTCCACGACGAAACTGAAAAACGGTGAAATCGGGCAACCCCGATGAATGCCACTTTTAGTCGGAAAGCTATCCGACTTATCATCATAGACCTGGACGCCGCCTGTAGTGTTCGAGTATAGAGCAAGTAAGATGTTCACACATTCCGTGGGA